AAAGTTTCTATTCTGTCCACCGATTCCAAATCCCCGCCGCCAAGAACTGCCCCGCGACGCGGGGGGAGACGGGGAAGTCAAAGAGTGATGGATGCATTTAGTTAGTGCTTGGCGGCCCATGATTACTATTTTTTATTTATTTATGTGTTTCTGTGCGTGTGTGTGTGTGTGCTGGGGGTGTTGGGCGCCTTGAACCCAAACCTTCACCACCCGCCACCCGTGCTCTCTCTCTCTCTCTCTCACTTTCTTTCTTTCTCTGTGGTCATCCAACGCGGAATGGGGAAAGGAAACGAAAACATCACCGGAGAGAGGCTCTACTGTGTGTGTGCGTGTGCGTTGATCCCAGAGGGCGGCAAAATAGTTCTGTCACACGCGTACGTCCGCACCTTCACCCCTCCACGGCTTGCCGCCTCTGCGATCGTGCCTGCACGGGGAACGTAAGCGAGCAGCGCAAGGGCAGAGCAAAGAGGAACCTGCGACAGGTCGACTGGATCAGCGGGGGGGGGCGTCGAGGCCGGGCCGGCCTAGATAGACTCACAAGGGAGCAGACTATACCCATCAGACAAGGGAGGGAAACGGAGAAAGCCGAAGACGGCACGGGAAGAGAAAACAAACAAAAAAAAAGAGAGAAAGAAGAATAAAAAGGAGGGGGGTCAACGAATCCGTCGGCGGCGGCAGCACTGAAAAGAAGCGACTCTGCAAAGCAGTAAAAGGGCAGCAAAGGCGGTAGTTGCGTGGACGAGCCAAAGTACTTTGGCTCACGAAAACCGAAGAGTTTTGTGGGAAGAGCTGGTGGCGGTGGAATTGCATCACAGAGCCTCAACTGGCGTGTGTGGCCGCGAGGAAGAAGAAATTAAAATAAAAAAATAAAAGCAAATCAAAAATAAAAAATGGGGGAAAAAAATCAAACAGCAAGGCGCAGCAAAGCAGCATCAGAGCCAAGGAGCCAGCAAGCATCAGCAAAGCAGGTGTGAGCGCGCGTAATAATTATCAAGCAGGTCGCTACATCCAAGAGAGAGCGAAGGAAGAAAATAATAATAAGAAAAACAAAGGGGGGTGGGGAAAAGAAAAAGCGGGATTGTGCGAAATAATTTGCAAAGAAAAAGATATTTTTTTTTTGTTGTTGTTGTTGTTTTCGTCTTTTTATTTTTTAAGGGGCGCGAGAAAGTGGGGACTGGAGGAGGGCTGAGCAACGGAATACGGGCCATCGCAGCTGGTTGAGAGGGGGCAGGCGCGGAAGCGGAGAGGGATATTTTCGGCGGGATAATGGGAGCTGCGCCGTCTCGTGAATCGAGGACGCTCTATTCCTACTTCAGAGGCACGTATGAGATTGGACTAATCCCATTGACGAAGGCCTTCTTTGGCCTTACAGAGCCCGCAAACGCCCACAGCGGGGAGAAAACAGGTGGTGAGGAAGGGCTGAGGGCTGGGGCGGGTCGCGAGCAGGAAGCTCATGCCTCCCAGGCGGCAGTGACTGCCGCCCACATCGCCAGTGTAAAGGAACTCCGACGTCAATTTATACTTATGCGCGGTGATCCAGCCATTTTGTACGCAAACGCCCGTGGGAAAGCGTCCGCGTCGTGGCCAGAGCTTCTTTCCGACACCTTCACCGAAGAAGACCTTGATGCTTTTCTGGATGCAGTTGAGGCTGGGTTGTATAACAGCGACGCGGAAATGATTGCGGACATTCAAACTCCGCTTCTTCCTCTTCCATGTGCCCTCTGTCTGGTTTGCAAAGACGGACAGGAGCGCTCTGGGTGCTTCTTCTGGCACGGCCGCAGTATCGTTGTCATTGGCTACTTAGCCTGCCTCAAGGAGGAACTCCGCAGGCTATTTAAAGTGGCAAAGAGAAACCCCCCAGAAGAGGCACAAAAACCCGCGGATGCCGCCGCGGACCCAAACAGACGTTCTCCTGCCGACCCCGACGACGTATCCCTCTTCTTAAATGCCGGCGTGCTTGCCTCTGCCGGAGACCGCACTCTCGAGCGTGTCCTCCTTCTGGCTGCTGTGATGGTGCGAAACCAGTACCTGGACGCCTTCTTTCGCGTTCGTAGTTCGACATCATCCTCCTCTCTTGGAGAGAGATTTCAGGATTTATTTAACATCGAATCTGGTGTCCCCTCGTTCTCCTCTCTGAGTTGTTCTTTGAGGCTGCGGCTCTCAGTAAGAACGCCATCAAAGCACAACTCAGAGAGGAGGCTCTAAAAACGCTGGAGAATCGACTCCAACATATCACCCTGTATGTTGAGACGGCAGTTGACAATTATTCTGCGTTGAAGTCCCTAACTGAGAATGTCGCCTTCTTGCAGTGCCAGACGCATTTAAGTCCGGGTTTGTGTGTGATGGAACTACCACAAGTTGTGTTTGACGGATTTGAACCCACTGGATTAGGTGACGCCGGCCACAAGCAGAATGCCGATGGAAACCAGGCGGAGGCGTCAACACGCCTTGCCGGGGCATCGCCCATCGCTGCACTTACGGCAGGGGAACAGGCAAGCGAGGATGCGGAGGTGAATGACGCCCGAATGCCTGCTGAAACGCCCGAAACACCACAAGTTAGGGAGGCCAACAAAAATGTTCCCTTGAGTGAAGATGCGCCTGTGGAGTTGGTGCGGGTTTGTTTTACGCCAAAGTATGTGGTAAAGGCAGCTATGTGGGTGTCCGGCATCCTTAGTGTGCCCACCGAACTTGGGGGAGGCTGGGTGCAGTACAAGCTGAAGGATGAAAGTGAGGAACTGCGGCAGACGTTACATGGAAAAGACTCCATTGTGGCCAATTGGAGGGAAAACTGTAAGGAAGTTTCCAGTAGTTACATGGGAATGGCGACTTTGCCACTGCTTCGACATGTGAAGGCACTTCGGGACGAGGTGGAACGAGCTCGTGGGATTCCCCTCCAGTTATGGCCAGTGGACAAGCTGATTCAAACTCGAGAGGGTCGCACGTGCGCATTGCATCACACTTCTTTTGGTACGATGCTTGTTGGCATTCGGAGCCGACGGGATGTGGATAATTCACGGAATCCGGAGAAGAAAAAAGGCTCTGGACGAGAGAAGATGAGTCATGCGCCTGACAATGAGGGTTCCTCCCACACCACTGCGACGTGTACTTCCCGAAGCCGCACCGGTAGTTATGCCCATGTTCCCGCTCAAGCTCCGTGCGCAGGGCTTGCTCCCACCACCGGGGGCCTGCACCGTGAGGCCTTGTCAAATATGCCTCCCATGATGAACGCAAGGGCACTGGGAGGAGTCGCACCCAGTGCGGTGTACGGCGCCGCCCCTGGGAGTATTATTGCCCCCTTCCCCTTCATGCCGGAGATGCCGCTGTCCTCTAATGTTCCGTTTCAACCAAACATGATGCCAACCACCATGATGGTTCCTTTTTTGCCAAATGGCCTGAGGGATACTTCGTTTGCGGAGCGAAAAGAGCAACCGGCGACGGTGGTGCCTCCACCTATATTTCACTCGGTTCCTTTTTCCCAGTTGCCCATGGAGTCACGAAGAGAGGCTGTGACAGGGGCATTCAGCAACGTCAACCGAGGCGATGGCAGAGGTGTCAATCCGGGCCCCCCTCCCCTGCCGAGCTTTGCGGCGGGCGATGCAGTCATGTCAACGTCAACATACGCTTTTCCAGTACGCAACTTGGCAACAGCACCACCCGTTGGAACGTTTCCCCCCGCTTCCACAAGTATGCCTCAAACACAACTGCAACCCCAACTGCAACCACAGCCACAGCAGCAGCAGCAGCAGCAATTTATGCTGCTTCAACAGGGCCCCGGTGGGGTTCCTGTTTTTGTTCCTGTTACCTCAGCACCGCAGCCGTCGTCACTTCTACCGCCGTATGGGTTTCCTTACGCTGGCAACGTCGGCTCCCCTCAGGTCCTTGTGGCCTCGCCGCAGCCCCTGCTTCAAGACTCATCTTTGCCTCCGCCGCCGCCGCCGCCGCCGCCCCCACCAACCGGTGCCCCCGCCGCCGCTGTCACCAACCTTTCTGGCGGGGGTCCGACTCCTAATTACTTTTACTACGTCCCTGCGCCATAGGTATTTTTGCGGGCAAAACGTCATGGGCTCATGCTGAGTGACTGAAAATGTCATTTGGACGTGCTCTTACCCCATTCCCCTCATTTCTCTCAGTTTTTTGTTGTTGTTTTTTTTTTTGACAAACTTTTTTTTTTTCTTCCCTGCCCCTTCTTTGTTGTATCTGTCTTTCCTTGGGAATGGAGGGGGCGTGTTTGATTTCCACCTTTTTATTCTCATGTATACAGCTCACGTTCCCCGCATGATTTACACCAAGAAAAGAGGGAGTGAAGGCGTCTTGAATAATGCGTAGAGAAAACTTCCTCTTGTTTTTATTGTTATTTTTAAGTTGTTTGTGGGACTTCGCCAGCATGCATGCTTATGAGCACACGTATATGTATGTATATATGTGTATACTCACACGTACACACTCTCTTTTCACGCAAACGGAAAAAAAAAAAGCGGGGGGAGGGGGGGGGGAGGTGGGGCACAAAACGGGGAAAGAGACTTCTT